CATGTAGTTGAAGGTACACAGTAGGTAGCCTTTTCAAACTGGTTTCTTTCATTTAGTAACATCCATTTCAGATTTCCCCCATGTCTTTTCACAGCTTAATAGCTCATTTCTTTTTGGTACTGAATAATATTCCATTGTCTGGATATGCCACAGTTTATTTATCCATTCACCTACTGAAGGGTGTCTTGGTTGTTTCCAAGTTTTAGCAATTATGAATAGAACTGCCATAAACAGTCGTGTGCAGGGTTTAGTGAGGACATAAATTTTCATCCTCTTTGAGTAAATAACAAAAAGCATGATTGCTGGATTGTATGGTAAAAGTATGTTTAGTTTTTTAAGAAACTGCTAAACTGTACCATTTTGTATTCCTACCATCAGTGGAGTTCCTGTTGCGTTGGCCATTCTAATAAAGGTATAGTGGAATCTCACTGTTGTTATAATTTACATTTTTCTGATGACATATGATGTAGGTATCTTTTCATATGCTTTGTGTTTTTCCTTTGACACATTTCACATTTTATTTTAGTAATATCTGTGTACTTGCTTTATTCTTGCTGCTAGCTTAACTCTACGACCTTCCCTTGTCTAAGGATACTTCAGTTTATTACATACTGTTAGAAACCATTTGTCCAAAATTTTCCAGGATTGTTTTACTTTAATTCTTTTCCATAAAAGCAACAAAATTTATTTTTATACTACTAAAAGAATTTTCACATACACTCCCAAATCAAAATAATAATAATGAAATCTTTTATCAGATTTTATGTGCAGATGGCTTCCACAGGTATACTTAGCCAAAATTTCTATTTAAAAATCTAATAAATCTAAATGACAAAATAATAAAGGGATATAAAACTAAGTTACCTTATATAACAAGATAACTCATCAAAAACCAGGGTGTATGTTTTTCAATCAATTTATCTTGAGTTAAACACCCATAGCTGCTTTGCTCATGTTAACCGGGGTCTTCACTTACCTGGCATGCTGGTTAAAAGTGCATATTTCTATGTTCCACCCCAGATATTCTGATTAAGTTGGTTCAGGATAAAACCCTGGAATCTATATTTTTTGTTTATGTTCCACCCCAGATATTCTGATTAAGTTGGTTCAGGATAAAACCCTGGAATCTATATTTTTTGTTTATTTTTTAGAGAGAGGGAAAAGAAAGGAGAGGAATATCAATCGGTTAACTCTTGTTTGGACCGAACCCACAACCCAGGCACATGCTCTGACTTGGAATCAATCCAACTTTTCTCTTTGTGGGACAAAGCCCAACCAACTGAGCCACACTGATCAGGGCTGGAAACTATTTTAAAAATGTATCCCAGACCAGGAAAAAAACTTCCTTGGGGTGATTTTAAAACTTATTTTGCTTTACAAGTTTGTTTTGTACATTGTTTTGTACGGTTTTTCTATTTTGACTGTGCATTGTTTTTTTTTTTAAAGGAAAAGAAAACCAATACTTCAATATTTTAAATTAAATCTTCCAGGCTATGTCCTGGAAGAATAGCTTTTGGCTATGTCCAAGCATAGAGTTTGGAGGTTTAATTGATTCACTCTCTTAGATACTAAGGCAAATTTAGAGTTAATTCCTGAGAAGAAATTGTAGTCCTGTCTTGGGGTACACCTTTGTCCTAACCCCTCTTAGGTTATTCCTGATCAATTGACAGATTTGACATTATTTTCTGAAAGTTCCAAGCCAATATCAAGAGTTAGGCCCTAATGGCCATTCTTCCTTTAACCTAAAAGCATTAAATGAAGGAGATAGGTCTAAACTAGATGAAATAGGGGAAAAGTAATGCTTTTAAGGACCTTGATTAGATGAAACAGATAAAAATAATATATAAATGTGTACACATTGGTATTTTCTAAAATACTTGCTTAGAAATCATGATCTAACTTTGTAATTATAAAAATTATATATAGTTACAATTATAAATTAGTGCATACTCATTAAATACAACTTAGAAAACAAAGAAGGAAATGATTAAGTGCCCATAGATTACAAACCAAAAACAACCATTGTTTCATTTCAGTTATTTCCATTCAATTTTTTTTTGTAATACACATCAACTATACTGTATTTTAAACACCCCTCTGTCGTCTTGTTGATTATATTATGTTATACTCTAGGATGGTTACCCCCAAACTTTTCACCATTAAGGACTTGTTTTTTTTTTGTACACATACACCACACCCCTACCATCATAGGTCCCAAATTTTGAAAAATATTGTTAATCAAACTATGTTAATTAATACACATTATTTGTTTCATCATGTTTAAATAGTCAGGATCATCTGTGACTGCCTATCAGAGTGATAGCACACTGAGTTAATCATTGCAACCCCAAAGTTAACATGTGAGTTAGCCTGATGTGTCCCACTAAGGTTGAAAGTTGTTCTAGAATCTCCATTACCCCTTTCATAAACCCCTTAAGTATCTAGGAACCCCACATTGTGAGTTAGTCTTAAGAAGGAAGTGTTTGCAAAGCTAAGGTAAATTTACCTTAAACCCAGTCAAAATTAACACCAAGTCTAAACAGGTGATATTTAGATTAATGAGAGTTCAGAATCCATTTGTTCATATGCTAACAGCTGGATCTTCACCTTGGACCTAGAATAATTTCCTCATTAAAAATATGCCTTGGGTGGAACCGTTTGGGATTCTTTTTTTAAATACGGCGTAGATTCTGCTTAAAAATATAAATTTGTGAAACTTCCAAGAATTACATTGTTTACTTCAAGAAAAGTCAGTGTCCATTATGATTTCTATAAGACATATTACAGCAGAGGTGTCGACCATATTCTTAGCCACATCCTCAAATGTCTTAATGAGGCACTCAGCAAAACCTACCCCAATTAGATGATAGCATTACAGGGTTAAACACAGTTGAATCCTAGGGCTTCTACAATGAGTCTTTTTATATAGTCAGTCTGAACCTTAAAAGTATTTTGGTATCATTAATTTGATGGCTAGAACCACAGACTAACTAGAACAAAATCCCTCTCTCTGCCCCTTATCATGGCTTTAAATCAGAGCTACTAACTTGGTGCCCAGAAGACTTACTCTTAATGTTCTATTTTAAGAAAAAACATTATTGCCAGATTTACCCCTTCATTGTTGATTGAGAATGCAGAGTGCTTCCAAATATCCCTGAAGACAGACTCACGCGCCACAGCACACCTGAGTTCACATAAGTCATCGACCTCACTCCACTGGTGAAATGTCTGGGCTTTGTGGAGGTAAGGGGAAGATTCGCAGACAAGCCTTAGAGATATCACCATGTCTACAAGTCAGATAATGGAAACATCAGTGGCTTTGGACAGTCCAAAGTTCAAATCCTAAGTCACTTCCTGGCTAATCTGACTTTGGTGAATTGAACATGTAGGACCCCTAATATCTCCATCAGTATAAATTAGATCTATAAATAATACTCTATAAAGAGAATTAAATGAGGAAAATATAAACAAGGCTTTCCAAATGATGTCTCCTTGAAGGAGAATGCGCCATCCAAAGGACCTCTAAAAGATGTCATCCTCTTCACACTTGGCAGTACTTACTATTACAAAGTCATTATCCCTAGGGCAACTGGACCCTTGACAGTAAAATATGCCTCAGTTTTCCCCTGGCTCCTCTGCACCAGACTGGTTTGGAATTTTAGCCTGTGTGCAATGCAGCCAACTATTTTGATCAAAGAACAGATAAGGGATGCTTTTCTGGGAAAGTGTGGTGGTTTTTTGGCTTTGGACAAAGAACTTAGAGAGAGAGAGAGACTTGAACATATTTCTTCAGTTTCTACTATGTGCAAGGCATGAGAGAGAAGGGTACGGTGCAGTGGTTTTGAGCATGGACACCAGTACCAGACTGCCTGTGCTTACCTGTAGTTACCTGTAGGGATATCAGTTTCCTCATCCTAAAATTGGTATTAAAATATACCTGTTATGAAGATTAAATGAGGTGATGTTTGCAAAGTGCTTTTAGTAAGTGTTATGTGTTTGGTAAATTCATTTTGTCTTACAGTGTGGGAATTGGCTGTGAGAGCAGGGGGTGGGGCATGGGATGGGTGGAGGAGGGCAAGGGGGAAAATTGAGACAACTGGAACAGAATAAAATGATGGAAGGAAGGAAGGAAGTATGGAAGGAAGAAAGGAAGGGAGGAAGGAAGGGAGGGAAGGAGGGAGGGAAGAGAGAAAGAAAGAAAGAGATTCATTTTGTCTTCAGTATTCACTTCATCTATGTAGGTCTTGGTTTCTTCCACTGGATTATGAATCCCCACAGAATAAATGAATCTTGAAAAAGGAAGGAGAAACTCACATTTCCCTTTGTATTAGGGAGTGTCCCTATACCTACTCTGTGTTAGATTGTGTTTTATATCCTTTGCACACATTTAATTCCACCTTTTGAAAGAGATGTTATCAGAAGCCAAAGCTCAGAGAATACGGTATTGGATACAGAATTCAAATCTGTGCTAATGTCAAACTCCATACTCATAGACCTTAATAGTTACGAGGACATGGAGGGGAGAATCCAGTGCTTGTTGCATAATCATGTTCTGCTATTACTCTTATCAGTCACTCTAAAGTGTTCTGTGTATGTTTCTGAAATAATACAAGGACATATAGTTAATATTTGCCCATGGATTAGAGGCACAAAAACATTCATCCTACTTTCCCAAAGTAAATACAAATTCGTGTCAGAGGAAAAGAAAAGAATAATAATTACATTTCAAGGGGGAGGGTAAAGGAGTGGAAGAGATGAAAAGTGGGGTGAAGAGGAAGGGAAGGGGAGATATTTTGCTCAGTAGTAAACACCATAAACTTGATTTACAAGACTGGTGAACACAGACATGCAGGACACATCCTAAGGGACACAGAATTAGCTTCTACCTGGAGAGAAGACAAGGCCAGCAAACAAACATGTCACAGGCCACCAGGAAGCACCCATGTGAACAGTCTCAGGTGCAGTCAAGCATAGGAGGCATCCCCAGGACAGATCAGTTCCAAGCCAGGTATTAATACAATAAGGAGCATCTGAAGAGAAGACTGGGGCCCATTATCATTGCTACTGACCTTCAGGTAAGGCTGACAAATCAGTAGCTTTTGGAGTTGGGTTTTCAAAAACGCTGTTCAGAGCACTTGTGAAAGATTGTTCCGTAAGACAAGCAACGTAATGAGAAGGAGAAAAGGGATGGATAGGACCGATGTAGAACAGGCAGGAGGAAGGGAAAAGGGGAAAGACAGAATGGGGTTAGTAGAGAAGAATATTAAAAGTACAGATTTTTAAAAATCACACCCTCAGTCAGACATTTTGATTTAGCACCCACTATATGCAGAACACTGAAACTATATGCTGAGGATACAACAGAATAATAATAGATACTACCATTTTTTGAATGTTTACAAAATGTCAGGTGCTATGGTAACAGGTACATATTTTCTTCTGTTTTGTTCTCAACAACAGTTCTGAGTTGGGGATTGTAGGCTAGAAAGTTTAATCAAATCTAGTTGGTGGCAGTCAGGAATTCCTAAACTGGGTTAATCAGAATTAAGATGACATACTTTCCTTCTCCTCCCTTCTCACCTTCCCTTCAATTTTTATAAGATTTAAAAAATGCATTTATGTATATTGTAATTGTAATAAGAATACATACTCACTGTAGAAAAATTGGGAAACACTGCTGTTAGGGTAAAAAATAATAAGATTTTTCAAATCTATACTATTTTAAAGAAGTACAAGAAAGAGCATCCTGAAGTTGATTGCTAAAGAATGGATGAAAGGCCCTGTTCTTACACTCAACTCAACGTTGAGCATCATCATTTCTAAAAATGCCCATTTGATAAAAAGAAAAGGAAGCTCACTGTTATTTCAATTTACATTTCTCTACTACTACTGAGGTTTTATGGGTTTACATGTTTTGGCCTCTACTACATTGTGCATGTCTGTGTCACACACTAATATCCTTATTTTTCTTACTGATTTGTAAAATTAATTAAGAATATTAACTTTGTCTATTAAATGCAGCAAACATTTTTCCTAGCTTCTCTTGTTTTGTTTATAGTACATTTTGACATAAAGAAGCTTTTCATTCTTGTGGAAGCAAGTCCATTGAACAATATCTTTAAATTTTCCTCTTTTGCTTTCTCTACTTTGGAAAGGCTTTTTCTGCCCCAAGACAGGTTTTGTTGTCTTCTAATGGGCTGGGTTTTGAAGGAGGCAAGGGACATGGATTGACTCAGAGGAGGAGGAAGGGATCTAGGGACTCAAGGCAAGTAGAATAATAAGGCCCATGTAGCCAGAAGCAGGGACGAGGCCCAGGGATTAGCAAATATAACAGAAACTCGATTGCCCCAGTGTACTATGGCATTTATGGAGAGGACACTATAGGCTTAGGGACTTAAAAGCTGGGCTGTAGAGCCTGGTATTGATTTGTTAAACAGGAAATAGAGACTCATGCCAGCTTTTCCCAGAGGGGAATCCCAGGTGGTAAACGGACACTATATAAGGATAAATGAGAAGCTGCACAGATACAGGGAGCCAGAAGGCTGGGACACTGTTGCTGCAATCCAGGCCTCAGGTGATGACACACCAAAATTGCAGGTCCAAGAAACATTTTTGTAAGAAAAACAACAAAAAATAAACAACAGCAATAATAACAAATACAGGATTTTGTGACTTGGCACACTAGAAAACACACAAAACGTAGGTTAAAATGTCTTCAGTGTTTGGAGAAGGAGGCGAGACTTCTGTTTCAATGACAGCAGCAGAGAGATTTGTAAGGATGAACTGGTTTCAGGTGCAGTGCAGGTGAAACCTAATTATAGTGTTAGGATGATCTAATTTCTTGGCACTGATGGAGTATTTACAATCACTTATCCTATGACTAAGACGAGAGAGAGCAGCTCACTGGTGGAATGAAGGAAGTTTGAGATCAAGCAGGAAAGTAGGGGGCTTGAGTATCTCTTCCCAAACACATGACTCTGAGAAAGGCCTGGGCTTAGAGGAAGATAAAGCAACTGACTGACTTCTTAGGAGTGTTTGGAAACTGACTAATTAATGAGCCAGATCTTGAAGGGAATAATATTGAGAAATGACAACTTGCATTTTGGTGTTAATACTTGGGGTGAGACTCTCTCTCTAAGGAGGGTTGCCAGATAAAATATAGGTCTCCGTTACATTTGAATTTCAGTTAAGCAGTGAGAAAAATTAGTATAGTATGACCCAAATGTTTTATGGGAGATATTTATACTAAATTTTTTTTTGTTGTTTATCTGAAATTCAAATTTAACTCGATGTCCTATATTTTTATTTGCTAAATTTGGAAACCGTACCTCTGTGGGAGATTCCAAAAGTCTCCAAGAATATGACAGTTTGTACTAGCAGTTGGTAACTGCTGGTAAATGGAAAACACGCCAGGAAATGTCAACTTCCCAAGGAAGGGAAGCTGAAAATCAAGCAAGAGGAGGATAAATGCAGAATAGATGAATTAATCAATATGAATTTCTTGAGCACTTGTTTCGCACTGTGCTGAGTACTTTGGGGGCTTCATCAGGATCTTACAATGAGTTTTAAATTAATTCCTATAGTCAGTCACTTAACAAGCATGTATTGAGAACCTACAGTGTACTGGGTTCAGGCCTTGACACTAAATTATCAAACAAAGAAGATAGTATTGAGTTCACAACAATAGGGGAGACTAGGGTAACTTAGGGAAAAAATGTGGAGACCAATTCCAGATGGAATATAATTGGGAACTAAAGCTGTGGCTTCTAAGAGCAAAGGGGTGAGCTAAGAAGTGATTGATGTCTCCTCTATCTTCATGGCTTGGCTTAGGCAGACATAGTTCAAAAGAAAGTAGCTTTGAGAGGCAGACATAGTTCAAAGGGAGTAGCAGTCAGCTGAAGGCCACACATTAATTAAAGGAGAGGTGCTTTGAACCAAGCCTTGAGTCACTGCAGAGCTCTTTCCATGACACCATACTGGTATTGAAAGGGAAGAGCTCATGAAACATGCCAATTGTTTCCATTGACATGAAGATGAAAAAGTCTGCTCTCACGGCAGGAGTGTTTTTCTGAAAAGAAACTACTGGGCAAGAGCCTTCTTCCTAAAGCCTCCCCTTTTCCTCCAAGGTCTTGGACCCTTCATAAAGACGTTTAGAGTGATGATGAATTTCCATGATGAAGATGAAGGATGGTGAAGTGATCTCCTTTATATCTCCTCCCCTGCAATGATGGTGGCTCAGTATCTGATAAGAGATTGGCTGTGAGGTCATGAGACCTCTACAACCCAGCTGATGGGAAACTGCTTAAAGGATCAGTGCCTGGCTTGAAGTTCTAATCACAGATCCTGACCTGCAGGTGAGGACCACCGACTTTTTTCTTTTTTAAAGCTCACATATTTTGAGTTTTTACTATTTGCCTGGTGATATGCTAAATATTTTTTGTATTCATCATCTAAGACTCTGATTCCTTATCTGTGAAATAGAGGCAATAATAGTAGCTACCTGGAAGGGTTATATTAAATGAGATGATGATACTAATGGCCATAATTTATTGAGAGTGAACCATGCCAGGCACCATGGTAAGCACAGTAACAATTTCATTTAACCCTTACAAAAGTCATGGGGTGGACCCTGACTGGTGTGTCTCAGGGGGTTGAGTGTCATCCCACAAACTGAAATGTCACCAGTTTGATTCTAGGTCAAAGCACATGCCTGGGTTGCAGGCCAGGTCCCTGGTTGCAGGTGTGAGAGAAGCAATCAATCACCCCCTCTTTCTCCTTCCCACCCACTCTCTCTAAAAATAAAGAATTAAAATCTTAAAAAGAGAAAAACCATGAGGCAGGTACTCTTATTAGCCACATTTCACAGATAAGCACATTGAGGTGCAGACTGGTTATATAAATTACCAAGCTCACAAGAAAAATAAATGATAGACTTTGGACTCTAATCTTGGTTGGTCAAAGGTTAAAGCTATGTGCTCAACTACTGATTCATGGTGTCTTCATAATAAAAGTGGGAGAAGATTTTAATGCATTTTGGTAATGGTTGTCCTATGTTTGTTGTTTCTAATCCATTTTGCAACACTATTAATAAATAGTTTTAAAAGTTAAAATTTTCTCTGCTAAACCAAATTGGACAGATTTATTCTTGACCAAACAAATACAAACACAAGGTTATCCTTTGAGGACTTAAAAGCTGAAGTGACTACATTTCTACCACATGCTCCCTTTTTACCTTTTTTTTTCTGGTTAAAAATAAGATTTGGTGACTTATGAGAGCAAACTTGAAGGGAAAAAAATTCACCAAAAAGCAACATATAGCCTGAACTCAAAATGAGAATGGTGGAGAGTGGGAAGAGAATTAATATTTATTAAACTCCTCCATATAGCAATCATCTTAAGTATTTTATTCACTTATTTTACTCAACAAAAATTTTTGAGCACCTACCGTGTGCCTGGAATCGCGCTGATGATGAGCTATCTAACTCTTACCACAACATTGCAAAATGAGGACACAGAGCCGCAAAGAAGTTAAGTAATTTGCCCAAGATCATATGACCAGTTGTTGACAAAATCTAGTTTCAAATTGTGGTCAGCCTGCTTTCAGTCTGTACTATTTACCTTCCTTTCTTTCTTTTTCTTCCTTTCTTTCTTTCTCTCTCTCTTTCTTTCTTTCTTTCTTTCTTTCTTTCTTTCTTTCTTTCTTTCTTTCTTTCTTTCCTTTCTTTCTTTCCTTTCTTTCTTTCTTCCTTCCTTCCTTTTTTATTTTGAGAGTATGTTTAGTAAAGCTGGGGATAGTGAAACAACAGATGGACTTAGAATAGAAGAAACAGCAAGAGAGCCTAGGCAATGCTCTGCTTTGTTGCTCCAGAAATGTTATAAGAAAGAAGTGAGCCACACAGAGCAGTGTGGACTCACTGAAAAATATAAGTCACAGTGACAGAGGTGTGCCAAGTGGAGCAGCTGTTGGCTCACTGAAAAGCCAGAGAAAAGGGGGCCTTAGAGACAGGTTTAGGGGTTAGCCTGGGATGAGCTGTTGTTTTCTTCTGCTCCCTTGGTTGCAAGTCTTGCCAGGACCCTTAGAGCTTAGTAGAAAAAGAGCAGAGATACACCTGTGAGAAAAGGGAAAGAAAGGCGTGTGTGTGCTCCAGAGGAAGCCCACCAGTCTGTGCTGGTTTCACTGTACCTTTCACTTTGCCTAGGTGATGCAGAGAAAGAAATGCTCTGAGATTCTAAGTTGATAAGCCCAAGGTTTAAGTCCCAATCGATAGGCTCAAATGGTACCCCTTTGATCTCCATTGGTTAACTCATACTCACAGAGCAGCTGGGAAATTAGGGGAGACCCATACATGATTTCCACAAGAAATCTTTCTTATAGACTCAGGAAGCTAAGCATGGCTTTAAGTACTATTTTGGAAAATTTCCAGGAGCTTTGAATTTGGCTTTGAAGAAATGCCTTTTAGGGATTGCTGACTGGTCTAGAAAGTCTCTTAAATACCACAGTGTTTATACATCTCAGAGGCAGGTCACTAAAGCTGGTGGGGACATATGCTTCTTCATTGACACATGATAAAAGTCCAAAGGGAACTAGAAGCTAGAGGCATCTAGTAAAATGTTTCACAGAATAAACCACAGGGATAGTCTCATATGCCCCCATCAACTATCTGAAGACACGTGAGTTTTTAGAAACTTTTGAACTGTTCTCCTGGCCCTGGCCAAGTACCTCAGTTGCTTAGAGCCTCATCCTAATACACCAAGGTTGTGGGTTTGATGCCCAGTCAGGACACATACAAGAATCAATCAATGAATGCATAAAAAGTGAAATGACAAATCAATGTTGTTGTTTTTTTTTTTTGTCTTTCTCTCTCTCCCTTCCTCTTTCTCTCTCTCTAAAAATCAATTAAAAAAAGATTAATGAGAACTATCCTCATGCACTGGACAAACAAACATCAAGGAAAATAGCTTGAATTCTGTGGCTGCAGTGTTTAACATCAGTGCCATTTTTCCTTCTTAACTTGTTTTGGTATGATGAAGACACAAATTAAAATAGTTACTTTTTTAGAAAAAAGTGGCAGGTTATAGTATTTACAGGTCATAAATATCTGGTTGCCTAAAGAAAATCATCTAACTCTTCATGCTAACTCATCTAAGCTGTTATTGATGACTTAACATGCAGCAGTCATCGTGATAATTACTGAAGATAAAGTGGTGAATGGCTCCTGTTTTCAAGAAGCGTCCAGCCTAGTGGGGAAATAGCACAGGCGTGCAGAGTCATACTCAGAATACAATGGGGTATTTTTCACAATTGAGGTACTCTCTAGGCGGGCTTTGGGGAGGTGGTGCCAGCTAGGCCTGGCTCGTATCCCTTCTGCTCCTTTCTTTTTTGGACAATTTTTATAAAAGTTTATTTGAGTCAGAGGGTACTCCTGGAAGCAAGATCTCAACAGACTGAGAAAATGCTTTCCCTTCTGCCTTCTTTTTCTAAAAAAAGATTTTATTAATTTATTTTTAGAGAAAGGGGAAGGGAGGGAAAGAAACATAGATGCATGAGAGAAACATTGCCCACCGGCAAACCAGGCACAGACCCTGACTGGGAAATGAACTGGTGACTTTTCGCTTTGCAGGACGATGCCCAACAATGGAGCCACATTGGTCAGGGCTCCCTTCTGGGTCTTAATTACCCAAGGACTTTAACCTGATACCCAGTCTCATCAATCATCAGTTTAGCTCTCTGTTAGAGATAAACAGTGCAACTCATAGTACTGTTTTGAGATGCAGCACAGTACCAGACTTGTATCATTGCCCTGTTACTTTTGAAAAATAGTGTCTGCTGAAAAAAATCAAACAGTACTAAAAAGTATAAAGCGTCTCTCTATTACCTTGCACCTTGTCCTTAGATAGCTGCCCCAAAGACAAAACTTCTCTTCAGTCTTTTGTCTATCACTCCAAAGATGTTTTAATACTTGATACATATGCATATATATCTTCTTAAAATTTATACAAATAATAGCATCCTACATAGCACAAAAACTGCTCTGCACTTTGTTTTTATTTTGAAAATTTTCTATATCAGTACACATAGATTGCAACATTCTTTTTATTGGCTCTGTAGAATTACATTTTATGCATATACTACATTTTATATAACCATCATCTTATTGCTATTTTGGTTATTCTTCATCTTTTGCTATTAAAATTCTTCAGTGAATAGTTTTCACCAACATCTTTGTGTGTATATTTCTGTAGGATAAATGAAATGTTAGATCAAAGTTATGGTCATTTTTGATAGATACTGTCAAAAAAGATAGAACCAATTTATACTTACATGATTAATATATGAGAATGTTTCCCCACACCCTAGCAAAAACAATGTATGTCAACCTTTTTGATATTTACCAAACTGATAAAATTACCTTAGTTTTATTTGTCAGATCTGTTATTTAAGTCAAGCTGGACATCTTTATCACATGTTTAAAAGCCACTTATATATATTTTTGTTCAGAAAGTTTGCCATAACCTGATTCAATTATACAGAATTAAAGAAGCTAATAGAAAGGTAGTTAACATAGAACACCCTGTTAGACATTTGAGATGAAAGATGAAGGAGACAGATCTGTGCAATAAAGATGGTCATGAAAAGTATTCAGGCAAGAGAAGCTGACTCATAATCAGAACTGTGTTTTGAGAAACTCTGGATGGTGTGGAAAATGGCTTGGAAATGGCAAGACTGGAGGAAGGGAAATAAATTAATTAAGTTGTTAAAATAATCTAGGAAACAGACAATAGTATTCTGAACAAAGGCACTGCAAGAAAGAATGGAGATGATGATGATTTACAAAGCATTTCAGAAGCAGAATCAAAATAACTTGATGACCCAATAAATGTCAGATATGAAAGAAAGAAGTAATTTAGGCAACTTAATAGATTAAAAAGAAAAGGAACACATGATAGGGAATTTGGCCTCTACCATTACTAAACACCTGCTAAGAAAAAGTTTTCATTAGTTATATATACATTTACATATAGATGAAAATTGAGCAAAAGAAAATAATATGCACATACTGCATTTATTCAATTTCACAGTAATTTTATTAGGAAAATATTACAATCCATTTAAATATTTTGAAAACAAATTAGAAAAGTAACATATGCAAAATAAAAAAACCATTAGGTTGTCCCAATTTATATCAGAATTCGAAGTCAGACGTATCTGACTGCAAACTGATGTTCTTTGCACTGTTCCAAGTTATCTAGCATGAAAGAGATTGTTTAGGGAGAAAAAATTATCTTAATTCATGCAGGAAAGCAAACTGCCCACAACATTGGCAAAGCACAAGGAATTATTCCTGAGCTACTG